TATATAAATATATATATACACACACACACACACACACACACACACTTATATATATATGAGAGAGAGAATGCACAGGTGTCATGCATATGCATTTTGTAACTGTTCCTGGTAAGCTGCACTTTAAGAATCATGGCTTTAGGTATTTTTGGGGCTATAGTTCTATTCTCTGCTACTTCTGTACATATGAGTATACTTTTTAATGGCCGACTTTCAGGTTATCTGAATACATTATGGGCTTAAAAAATGACAGTGCTAAGTTCCATGAGGTTTAGACTAAACATGCTAGGGAAATTTGCCTCTCAATGGATTTAAACGTTTAAATGTCAGTGTAGCTTTTGGTAACTTAATTTTTCTACATCTCATTTGTAGGAACGTTAGTACATGGCAGCTTTTTACTTTAATATTAATAGTTATCAGTTTTTCAATGAGAATGCTGTTGGTGCTTTGGGTGAGGTTATTCTTTGTGTGCTTTGCAGGATACTTAGAATCTCTTCATTATTCCTACACCTCTTCATAGAATCAACCTAAATGCCTAATTGGGGTAGCCCCTAGGTGGGTTGAATACTTCTGGTTGGGATTGTTGTGTATTCTGTTTTTGTTAATTAAGATTGTTTGGCATTTACTAAGCACTGTACTACACACTCACTGAATATTCTTATTTAATGTTCATAATTCTGCTGTATGGTGGAATTCCACTATTTGTATCTCATAGAAGAAGAAGCGGGTTTAAGAGAGTTGAGATAATTTTCTAAGGTCACCCAGTGTTCAAACAGAATCAAACCTGTTTTCACAACTCATATTTCACCATGTTTTGCTGCTCTTTGAGTTTGTCTTTTCCATGACCCTTTTTCATTTCATCTTAACTTTTATAACACTTGAACATATGACCCTTCGTAGGACTTTACGTGTTCTGAAGTTTATCTTAAAATCAAAGACATAAACTGTAGGTACTTGGAGATAAGGCTGTGTAGTTCTCTGTGCCTCTACCTTTATGGGTGGGTATTAGTCCAGCTTTCTTACTAACTGTATTTGTAAGTCTGTTCAGTTACAAAAAGGTAGGCCCACCATTTGGCTTTCCTAGTTTTCTTCTAAGCTTAATTCTTTCTATAACTGATTTACTCAATTTATATGTATATTTTTGTATCTTTTTCCTTTTGATATTTTTAGTCAAACAACTGTTCTGTCAGCTTGTACCCTTTCAGGATATTGCACACCTCTGTTGATGTATTCAAGTTTGTTTTAGTGTTGACTGTACATACCATGAAATCTTACAAGTGAAAATGGGAATTTTAAAAATAAGCATTTGAAATAATAGTTTGTGTATATTTCTTCCCCAGAATTTTTTGTTAAGCTATGAAGTAATTGGTGTTTGGGACTGTTAACTCTGTCTAACATACAGCTGCAAATGCAGAGGCAGTAGTCTAGCAGTTTGATGCTTTAGTGTTTCTGTTACCCTAGACCATCTGTTACAGTCAGGTTGTGATAATATAAATTCTAGTTATGTCTGAGCCTGGAGAAGTTGAAGTAGATGGGAGTTTTTCTGAATTTCTCTTTTCAAGTTAAGGAGACCTCTTTTTCCCTTTTGGACTATTTCCCTGGTCTGTGACTTTAGAATTCCTTGAGTAATATGGTGTTAAGAGTCCTCTTAGCGATGAAGGAATGGTGAGTGGAGTAAGAGCAGATAAAGAATTAAAAAAAAAAAATCATCTTTAAAACCGAATTATTCAGGAGACCTAAATTCCCCTTGGCTTGTCTTCCATCATATGTAATTACAAACAGAAATGCTTTTTTTTTTCCTACCTGAATCTCTTCTATGGGGAAAGAGGGATGATTCTTTATTTGACTTCATTATTACATCCAGCGTACCTTATAAAAAGGGCTAGCATTACAGTATAAGTGGGTAATAGTATATGATTTGGGCATTATTCCATCTTGGTGAGTTCATTCTGCCAATCCCCCCTCCCCCCACATTAGAAGAAATACTTTCAAGAATCCTCTTGGTTACTATTTAATACATCTGCTTAGATGTGCCACAGTTTATCTACATACGGACCCAAAATGTAGAACTTTATTTTTTATTGTGTCATTGAAGGTTGTCAGAGTCATACATGATCCATTTTGTAAAATTAAGAAAAGTTGATCATTAAGCTTAAACTGGCTGTCAGTGGATTTTTTTAAAAGCATGTAAAAATGTTTTAGATTTTAAAGTGTATGTCTCAATCAACTCTTAATTTCCTTAAATCCACTTTTTGCTGACTAGAATTGAGTCGTTTAATGACTAACCAATATTTCTGTTTTGCTTTTTTTCTTTCTGTTCTTCCTTCACTTCTGTCACAACCAATTCTTTACAAGTTGAGGAACTGAAAATGATTATACTGTATAGCTTTTTTTAAATGCCCGTGTCAAGATCAAATAGTTATTTTAACTTCTTCCATGTATGTGTTTTTGTGAATACTTTTTTTCCCCATTAAGTTTTAAAGCAAATAGTACAGTTACATTTATCATTAGGATCTTGTACCTTCACATGACAGATCTTGGTTCTTGTTTTTTCCCTGGCCTACCTTCACTCCCTTTGCCCTTCCCTATTTACAAAGATTTTTATGAATACTTAAAGCGAGGCAATGCCTGTAAAAATTACTTTTTTACTGATTTTTTTGTTTGTTTGTTTAAATTGTCTGTGTATCAGCTATTAGTTAGATGACCATGGTCTAATTTTGCTTTGTTCTTCACTAACAACGTCATTTGTTTGTTCTCCTTTAATATAGTTTAGTTTCTTTTTCTTTCCTAAATGAATTGGTTAGGGGATGGTCTGAAGTCACATTCAGGAGCCTTTCTCAAGTGATATATTAGAAGCTGTTCTCACAGAAAAGAAAATACTCCCTTTTCTTGGAAAGCAAGTGACAGAGATAGAGTGCTAAACCTCCCCCTCCTTCTCCAGCCCAAGCTGACCTTCTGCAGCCCCTTGCTGCCTCTTGTTTTCTTATTTTTATAGAAAATCAATATCCCTTCTGACACAAACAATAGCTCAGAAGCAAGAATAAATGGGAGAAAGCTGAGATCTCTGTCCATCACCTCTCACTTTAACTCCCCCAAACTCTTTAATTATGAGTGTGCTTTGCTCCAGGTGTTTGTGACAGTGAAATTGCTAAACGAGGACCATTTTAACCAAAGATTGGGTGATCAATAACACTCTATAGCAGTAGCTTGTTGGATCAATAGCATTCATTATTTCATGGTTAAGGTAAGTAGCCTCCTTTGCAAGTGGAGGTCATTAATCAGGGGTTACTGGAGCCAAGGAAAAGAATATATGTGCTAGGTTGGAGATGTTCTGTTTTCTATTCTTTAAATAGGGATGCTGACCAAGAGTGTATTTACCATTGCTGCAATTGGCAATATTCATTGGAGAATACAGAATAGCTAGCATAGCTTGTTTGTATAGATTTATTCAGTGTTTTGCTGGTATATCTTTAGGGAACGAGTATAAAAGAATACTTGGGAGGTGGATATGGTACTATTGTATTTAAAGATCTGTCTCTTGAAACAGTATCCTTCTAGAAAGAAATGTTAAAGTAATTCTATGGCTCCAGATGAAGGGACTAAGTACAGAGTGAAATGTTACCTCAGTATAAAATATAACATTCTTTTATAACATAAAAATAAAGCGAATCATTTCACCAGGTAGTGAGTTTTAGGTCACTGGAGGGATTGGCCTGAAAACTGCTATTACTGTGGAGCTGAGAAGGTTGGACTGAAACACTTCTAAGGAAGGACCCTTGGAACATGCGTTCCTATGATTTTCCAGTTATAATTTACCTCTGACCATTGTGATTTTAATTTTAAAAAACAACTCATAAGCAGCCTTAACTGCCCACTAGAATATATGAAAAACAATCCAATATTTGCTCACTCACAGCATTGGAAACCAAAACATAGTTGGTCTCTTGCCAAAATTTCCTCAGTTACAATGCAAGGCTGATAGAACTATGATTAGGAATGCAGCCAGGGGCTGATGTTAGCAGCACGGAGCCTGCCCTCACACTGCAAGGCTATGTGTCCTTTCTCCGTGGGCAGCATTCCGAAGTGCAAGGCCTGGCTCAGTGAGAATTGGATAGCTGCACTTTCTGCAAAGTGTTGTTTTATTTCACTTCTTAGTCTGTGTCTTTTGGTTTCTATTTGGAGGCTGTGACTCCCAGAATACATCTGGATAGGGAAGTTTAATGTTTTCTGTGTATTTGTGTTTGTATGTAGGAGGCAGACACATGAGTATTGAGTCTCTAAGAATAAATTTATTATCAGCATGGCCAGAGAAGAAAAAATCCCCTTTGAATACATCTTGGAGATTGTAGTGTCTCGTATATTATATTCCATTTATTGATGACCCATGGAATACAGCCAGAATCAGGGAGTGAGGGTGGGTTGGGAGGAGATCCCATCTCAGTCTGACATACCTGTATGTGATGAAAGTGCTCCAGGAACACTGAGAATTACGTTAGGGGCTCTACTCTTGGCCAGTTGTAGATGTGAAGAAGAGCACATTACCCATATCCACAGGAGTAGAGAATGGGACCAAAGGTAATCCGTAAACCCTTTCTTCTGGCACATACCAAGAGCTTACATTCTGCT